TTGCTACACAAACTTAAACTGTAAAAATATAAAAGATTAATATTAAAATTGACTTGTATACAAAACAATGAAGTCAATTTACAGTAAGCCCATAGTCAAAATCTTCATAAATGTAAAGAAACCTAAAGCATTTTCACTAAAATCAAGAACTAGGACAAGGATGTCTACTCTCTTCATACCTAAAGTAATAAGACAACTGAAGAAGATCAATGGGATTTAAATAGGAAGGGAAGTTATCTTTATCTGCAGATGATGAAATTTATCAGAGGGAGTCACTATAGGTCCGAGAAGAGATCTGGAACTAGGAAGATCTCCAGAGACCTATAAGGATGACACGATCTGACAGTCTGGGCAGTGGAGGAGAAGTTGGCCTAGAAACCCTTCCCCTAGAATGAGATTGATGAATACTCTCTATGCTATTCTAGAGTCCTCATCCAGTGGCTGATGAGAGCAGAGACAGACATCCACAGAAATACACTGAGCTGAAATCTGGAACTCAGTTGAAGAGAGGGAGGAATGAAGAACGAAGGGGTCTGTACCTGGTTGGAGAAACCCACAGAAACAGTTGGCCTGAAAAAGGGAAAGCATATCGACCCCAGATGCTCTTTGGGAGGACAGTACAGGACTAATCCAGCCCCCTGATCATGGATGCCAAGGGGGAGGCCCCTGCCCTCCGGGGATTTTTAGACATAGAGCAAAGGTTTCCCAGCCTATAATCCTCTACCCCAAGGAAACTAGAAATCATGAATGACTCCAGAGGGAGGTGGACTGGCGTTTTGCCCTGGTGGGTGGGAGGGACTTCGAGAGCCCATCAATAAATACCCTACCAAGGAACTTCTACAGCCAAAAAAGCTCTTTGAGCACAGTAGCAGAATATAAAATTAACACACAAAACTTAGCTTCCCTATATACAAATGACAAACATACTGAGAAAGAAATCAGAGAAACGATACTTTTCGTAATAGTTCAAATACTATTTTGGGATAACTCAAACCAAGACAATGAAAGACTTGCATAATAAAATGTATAAGACATTGGAAAGGAAGATATTGGAAGATGGGAAGATTTCCCTGTGCTCATGGATTGGCAAGATTATTGTTATGGAAATGGCCTACCCAAAGCAGTCCTCAGATCCTAAACAACCATTATCAAAATTCCAACACCATTATTCACTGAAATTGAAAAAATATCTGGAACTTCATATGAAAACACACACACATACATATGAACATACAAAAATCACAATGACTAAAACAATCCTGAATAATAAAAGAACTGTTGGAGGCATCACCATCCCAGGTTTCAAGTTGTATTTCAGAGTTATGTAAATAAACATAGCATGGTAGCCTGGTTTTGGCATAATAAACATACACTTTCATCCATAGGAAAAAAATGAAGACTAAAACATAATTCCACACACCTAAGGCATCTGGTTTTTAACAAGGAAGCCAAAAATGTGCAATGGAGAAAAAAAAAACAGCATTTTCAATATATGGTGCTGATCCAACTGGAAGGTTGCAGGTAAAAGTACAAAAATAAATCCATATCTGTGATCCTGTACAAAGCTCAACTCCAAATGGGCCAAAGACCTCAACATAAGACCAGATACCCTGCATATGACAGAAGATGAATTAGGGAATAGGCCTGAAAACATTAGCACAAGCAAAGATTATCTGAACAGGACTCCAGCAGGGCCAAATGGGTCCTGTTGAGGCATTAAGATCAACAATTAAGAAATAGTGCCTGATGTGGCTTAATACATTTTGTACAGCAAAGGAAATTACCACATGAGCAAAGTAGAAGACTACAAAATGACAAAAAATCCTTACCAATTATCTAACAGATAGAGCATTAATATCATATTTATAATATTATATTATATTCTAATAGACAGAATAGAATGAATATACAATGAACTAAAAAAAAACTGAACACATAGAAAACAAATAACCCAATTAAAAAATAGGGTTCAGAGCTGGACATGGTGGTGCACACCTTTAGTCCCCACACTTAGGAGGCAGGCAGATCTCTGATTTTGAGCCTAGCCTGGTCTACAGAGCAAATTCCTGGACAGCCATGTCTGTATGGAGAAACCTTGTCTCAAGAAACAAAGGAGCAAAATATGGGGTATAAACAAAAAGTTCTCAAAGGATAAAATGGCCGAGAAACATTAAGAAATGTTCAGCATTCTTAGCCATAAGTGAAAATTAAAACTTGAGATTTCATCTTACCAAAGTCAGAATGGCCCAAAATCAATAAAATATGACAACTGGGTAGGATTTAGGGAAAGGGAAATATTTATTAACTCTTGGTGAGAGTACAAAGTGCTAAAGCCACTGTGGAAATCAGTATTATGGTTCCTCAAAATGCTGATAATAGATCTACCACCAGATTGAGCTTTACTGCTTTTTGGCATGTTACCAAAGGACTCTACATCTTACTTCAGAGGTATTTGCTCATCTGTGTTCATTGCTTCTCTGAAATAGTCAGCCAGAAATTGGAAAGATCTAAGCTGCCAATCACCTAATGAATGATAGTGAAAATATGGTTCATTTATACAATGGAATATTATTCAGTTATTAAGAAAAATTAAACTGCAGGCAAATAAATTGAAGGGATACAAAAAGAATCATCCTGTCTGAGGTAACATGGACCCCCAAAAGACACATATTGTTTGTTTTCTCATATATATGGATGTTACCTTTATGCTTTAAATGTGTGTGTTTCAATTAAAATAAAAAACAGAGTAACCTCTGTTAGCTAGTAAGGGACAATGAGAGAATCTTCCAAGTTAAGGGAAACAGACTATAGGATTTTAGGAGAGAAAGTGGAAACTAGCCTAAGAAGCTTAAGTAGGGAAGGGGATGAGAGAGAAGGGTAAAGGAAGAATTATGGACAAGGACAAAGAACACTAAACGCTTTTTGAACAGCCATCTGGAAAGCTACTACAGTGGAAGTTTCCTTAAATATAGACACAAATGAAAGAAATCTAAAGGGAGTTATCATACAACAGAGGAGATAATGTCCCAACAAGATACCTTACACTACCAAGGGAAACTCTCTGTGTCAGGGATAGGTTACATCTTGTTGTATCATCAGCCAAAGGGGTCTTATTGATGTCTGCCCCCACCCACAACCTCTCCAAAAACAAAACAAAACAAAACAAAACAAAAACATCAAAGGATATTGCAAAGGTCACCCTCCACAATGGTAAGGCCCTATCCTGAAGTTACAATTTACTTAACTCATCAAACATGGAGAAATTGAACTGGTGCTCAACTAGAAACTTCACCCCTACTGACTAGTGTTCATGGTGTTAGAAGGTATTGGAAAAGAAACATAATCATCAATATTACCAGCTATAAACCCTGTGACCTACAACAAGGACGTACCTACAAGATATATTGGTGCAATAGGTGCAATAGTCACACATATGTTATAACTATAACCAATAACTTTTTAATTGCTTTTGAGATCCAGTCTATAAGATGGAAGAAACACCTATCACCACCTACTACTATTATCCTGATAAAATACAATAAGAATAAAAGGACTCCTAATGACACATTGCCATACCCATAGACCAGAGAACTGCTCAACTTTAATCAGAGAAACTGCTTTTTGCTGTAGATGGTAACTAACAGAGAGACCAAGAACTGTACAATGTGCAGAGGGTGAGAGATTTCAGAGCATTCAGCCCTGATTGGAATGTTTTTAACAACCACAAGACTCAGGAATCTATGTGGAAGAGGAGAAAAGATTGTGACAGCCAGAGGTGCCAGATGACTCTAAAGAAACTGCATATTCCAGAAACAACAGTACTTTCTCACAAATGAACTCACAGAGACTGTGACAGTACTCACAAGACCTGCACCATTTCAAACAAGACAAAATCCCAGAACTGACTGAGAGAAAGTAGTGAAGACAAAGTCCTACCCCTAAGAAGCTATTTGTGGTTGAGACCTGCTGGGAAAATGGAAACATAAGTTTTTTTTCCAATCGAGAATTACTGGTTATGTCAATCAATCACACTCCAGAACAGACCCCATTCCCAGGAGTAGCATGGCCGACACTAAATGGATCCCCTAACTTTCAATATATTTTGATACTTTTTGCCATATTGTTGTTTATGCTTAAGTATTTTAATTTGTCATTTTTTCTTTTTTCAACTGTTTGATTTGAGAGAGAGAGAGAGAGAGAGAGAGAGAGAGAGAGAGAGAGAGGGGAGAGAGAGGGGAGAGAGAGAGAACAGAGAGAAAAAAAAAAGGAGGTGAGAACATGGAGAACATGAAGAAGTTGAATGGGAGGAAAATGGGATCATCTGGGAAGAGGTGCTGGAGGGTAAAGAACATAATCAGAAAATTATATTTTCAAATATGTTATTTTTTAAAAGAAAAAAATCAGTGAAGTCTTGAGCTAGGAGAACACAGAATAAGGCAAACTACAGTACTTGCAGGTCCTCAAGATGGCAGAACTTTAACTTAAGATGAAACAGAAATCCTTAAACATCAGCCACAGAGGACAGTAATGAAATCCTGACATTGTTATATGCACACAACACAGTCCAAATATCTGTTTTACTCTGTTGAATGTTGAAATATGACTTTAATTTACTTTATGCATTTTTCTTAAAAGATGTTCATGTAGGGGTTCCACTGTCCCAAGCATTACTCTAAGGGTCTAATTGGAGTCCCTCACACACTAGTGCTATACAATAACTAGTGCTATACACAATAACTAGTGCTCATGTTCACACAGATTGCTCCTGACCCTCTATACTCAAGATCTGGCTCTTATGTGCTGTGTGACTATGAAAAAGCAACCAACATCTCTCTGCCTGTTTGCTTATCCATAGAGATGGAATATTAAAGTGATAATAGCCAGGAGGATTAAAATAAGGCCTCCTGAATTTGAAAGCAACAACTGTAGTACCATGAGTGATAAAGATATTTGTTAGTATTCAGTGGCTGACAATTTTTGTTGATTTTTATTTTAAAACCTATTTCTTACTACATTTATTAAGCCATAGTTTCAAACAAGTATATCAAATGTGGCTCTATTGTTACATAAAGATTATGTATGCATACATATCTATACATAGATACATACATATATATAGATGGTCTATAAAACTATGCAATAACTCACAGATTGTAAATGCAGATAACAACTGGAGAATAAAGGATTTTTGTTTCCCCTTAACCCTCTTCTATTTTAATCCTTTCTAAACTTCTGTTTCCTTCCTTCCTTGTCTTTCCAGTACAGTTTTTCTGACCAAAATTATAATGTCTGTTTTTCATAATAACAAGGAAGGATTTGAGAATAAAAGGCAGAGAGAAAAAGAGTGGTTTGCCTTCCCCTGCATGATCATAGGCTCTAATAAACTCTCCTCATCTTCCGATGGACACTTTGAAGTAGAAACAAAGGCTTGACAAGGTAACAGCCTTTTACAAATTTTCCAGAAGGAAACTTATGGAAAGATATAACTTCTGTTACCTTTAGCAGAGTTGAAGAACCTTGCCAGATTACTCAGATTGTACTTACATTATCTAAGAAGTTATTGTAAGGGAAATTTCCTTCCCTAAATAGGTTAATTTGGAATAGAATTTGTGAAAGAAAATTCATATTTTAAAGTGTTTCAGTTAACTGAAATGATACTCGCTCTGTATCTTCACTTTAATGGAGTTCTTTGAGCAGTGACTTGGGTAGTCCCAGACAAATACTGCTGGGTTTTCCATCAACTCTGTGGTGGAGCCTTGAGATGAAGGCAGTGAGCTGGGGATTGAGATGCAGGCAGACTTTCCTCAAGCATGGAAACCTCTAACTTCCACTCATGCTGTTTATCTTCTTGTCAGTTGTTCATTTTCTGTCTCCTTTACTTTTCTTTTCTAAAGTAAACCCTCGTGTCTCTCTGCCTTTCCACACTGAGTTACTACTTGAATGTTATCTTGCCACATTTTTTTCCTCTAAACTTGAGTATACAATAGAATCTGATTTTTCTATTAGTACTTACTACTTACATGTTGCTTACATTGGGACATATTGACAATCTGACAATTTCATATATAATACAATTTTATCTGTTTGATAGATAGTTTTTAAAAAATGTTGCATCCTAGAATCTTATTTTTAATTTTTTCAGTTTAAACATTAGCTAGCATTGTCAATGTAGATTCTAAAGTTTGAAACAAATGTTTTAATTTTTTTACAAATCTAGTATGCTGTCTCATAAATATTTTTGGCTACAGTCATCTTAGCTGCCAAGTAATTCACTACTATATCTTTTCTTGACGATATTAACTTTATAATGTTTTAAAAATAGTTTATTCTACTTTGAATATGTGTTGTTTTGTATCTACAACTTCTAATCAAATATATAAAAGCTGGATGTTTCATTTTATATTTGTATTTTATCATGTATTGCCTATTTTATTATGAATTTCCTCAATTAGTTCTATGAGTATAATAATTAAATACATATGAATTAAGTGTTCTAAGCCTTGGAATTATATTAGTATGACATTCATTGTTAAAATAAAAAACTCTATGAACTATTATCACCACAGTTGGAGTCATATTACTAGAATTTTTATTTTCTGGAAATTCTCTTTAAATTAGAATTTAATGTGAAGTGAAAATGTGTTTCCCTTAAGTTTCTCCCCACTGGAATGATTTTATTGTCTCATTATTGACAGAATTAGTTGTAGTCCCTATTTTTCAACAAGGCCTCTCAAATAAGTTATCTCACCTTTCATTCAATGTAGACATAGACATCACTATTGATTGTGTTGAGAATGCAACAGTCATGTGCTTTCTCCCCATGGCTGTCCCTCTCTTCTTCTTGTAAGGCCATCTTGATTTTCTTTGTCAAGGATCATACTCAATACTTCAAGAGCTGCTGTACAGCAGAGTACAGACATTGAGATTTTTCATAGTGCAATATATGTTAGGCATCGAAGCCTGGCTTACCTATATTAAGTGTGCACTGATATTTTGAGAGGATTCATACTTATTCCATGTAAATCAAATTGAAAAACTGATAAGTTTCATAGTGATTCCGGTGACCTCCATAGATAGCCTTACAAACGTTGGCCTCAAGAAGCTTAACACTATTTGAGTTAATTGTGACACACGCTCCACTACAACAATGCTCATTCTGTGTTGGTTTTGGTACTACATTGTGTCTGTGGAAGGTGACCTCTACCTCAACCTACTGCTTCTAAAATCCTGTAAGAAGATTCAGAAAACAGATAACTGTAAGAAGTCCGGGTGAGACCCTCTAGTTCTCATACCTCCTTTGCTCTTTAATGCAAATGCTTCACAGTCCCATCTTGTTTCCCAGCTGCTGCCATATGAACAAGGCCTTTGGGAAGTGTTCTCAAGAAATACATTTAAAAGTGCCTTCCCCCCTCATCCTCCCTGGGGAGTTGATGGGGTGGGATGAGGGAGTCCATGGGATTATGTGAGGGAGAGGGAACTGAGATTGATATGTAAAATAAGATCATTTCTAAATAAATAAATAAATAGTAAAGAAAGTGTCTTCCCTTTTCTGATACATTATTGAATATGCTATTGGATATTAAACAGGTAAGTGAAAACACACACACACAAACAACAACATGAATAATCTAAAGTAGATTTAGTAAAATACATATATGTGTAGAATGACACTTAGTGGTACCAAGTGAATTTCAAAGGTTAGTCACACCTTTTTAAAGAATAAATCACAGAAAACAAAAGAAAAAAAGCATAAAATAACACTAAAATCAAGGTGCTTTGTGTTTTATTATGACTGAAATGCAATCTATTTGAGGCAATACATACATTTACTCTGGTGAAAATATGGACAGAGAGTAAGGTATAAAGATTATGAAGTAAATACCAATGGCATTGTTTATATATAGAAACTGGTGGGTATTTTTTTCTTTTTTAGTGGTGCTTAACATGTTCTGCTTTCTTAACTGTCACCAGGAAGAGAATTTGATAGCACATACATATATGCTGTTTCATTACCACATCTAGTTTTGGTTTTATTGTTTGTTTGTTTAAAAAAAATCAAGTCTGATTCTATAACCAATGAAAACATTAAATAATTCTTACATGCAGGTTCTTCAGGTTTTTGAAGTCCCCATCTTTGATCTCAGTTATTTTGTTGTTTTGTAGGTCTAGCAATGTTGTGTCAGGTGGAAGGTCCTTGGGCACTTTATCCAAACCTAGCATTAAAAAAAAAGGAATACATAGTTCATGTGAAGAAATTCCCAACAACTACAGAATCACAGAAGATTGTTTTAAAGAATTTTTAAGACAATATTTCACTTTTTACACTACCTTACATTTGGAATCCTCCTGCCTATGGCTACTAAATGCTGAAATTACAACACTTCCAACTTAAAAGAGTGTGAGTTTACAAGAAAACTAAAATTTCAATAATACATCTGTCTGTAACATGTTTTTCTCCAAGACTTACTTCAATTATGTTTCCCAACAAAGTCAAGGATTTTTTTTCTTAGTCACAAACTGAAAATGTTTGCAATATATTGTTTTTTATACAGAGAGGAAAATTGTGTTTCTTTAGAAAGTTGCTCAAATCACTTGCTACATGTTGCACCTTAACAAAGTTTTGTAAACATTTGGTAGGAGTACATTGTTAACCTGCACTGCCACTAGAAATACCTTATCAATAAAGTGCTCCAGTTTCCATTCCTTTTTTATACAACCAACACTGACACATATTTACATTTAAACTTAAAGCTACTTGAACTTGTAACTAAGTTCTTGTTTGTAAAATGGGATGTATCTAAGCTTTAGGGAGAGTAATTCTTTTCATTTTAATTAGAATTTCATGACAATATCAGTTTTAATAGTCATTTTATAACCAATTGACCTATGGTATAGCGGTATAAATTGGGATAAATTTGGTGGCATATTTACTGTGAAATTATTTTTATGAAGCTTTCATTTTTGGAGTGTAGAATTTCATCATACTAATGTAGACACTTAAAAATCAAGTGGTCCTTGATCTTTAAAAAATATGTTTTGCAAGTCATTTAACCAATTTTGTTAATTTTTTTCATTTTCATTTTGGGAAGTGTAGGAAGGAAAATAAAAACTGTACATTTGAGTCCATAGAGACGGATCAGAGTTTAAGAGTGTCTACTGCTTCTGCAGGGGGTCTGGGTTTGCTTTCCACCACACATATCAAGAGATCACAACAGTCTATAAATCCAGCTACTGAGAATCCGATGGCCTCATTGGTTCCATGGACACTTCTAAACACACAGTGCAAATTCATATAAACAGGTGCACACATATGCATACCCCTGCCCACACACAGACACACACACACACACAGACACACACAGACACACACACACGGAAAGACAGAGAGAAAGAGAAATGTTATTTTCAAAAAGAAAAAAACAAGCTGGAAACTCTATTCTCACATATAGTGTCAATCTCTATATTTTTAACATTTCATAACAAATATTCTAATTTGTTATTTTTTTGATAGAAAAAAGTTTTCTATCATTATGCAACTTGAAGTATTAACAATCTTTGATTCATTTGACAATTCTTTGTTTCATTGACCAGAGCCTAGATATTCAGTTGGAGCAAACAGACTCTACCAACTTGGAAATATAACTCATAGAAAATATAATTGACTTCAGTTTTCAATTAAAACTAAAATCACAACAGAATATAATAACTACTATGTTGGGAAGGGAGATTTCCAGTTCTGAATTTTTAATGAACATGTACTCAGAAAGTACATGGCAATCAAATTTCAAATCTCCATTTCTTCCACGAAAATTACATACATTTAAAATAACTTATTTCTGATGTCTTTTGTGCTTCTTTATTGTTCTTTTCCACAGTTGACCACTACACAACAATGGGAGGAAATATTGTTCATATCCATGACAAGTGTATTTTAATAATTCAACTGACATCATATGCTCTATAAACATAGAACTCATTACAGACATGGTTCCCATAGAAATGTGAGATTGAAGTGTTTTCAGCCTTGAGAAGTAAACTAAAAAACAGCTACCTTGTGGGAGGATTGTGAGAGCGCTCCACAATCATAATCACTGCCATTTTCAAAAATGTCAATTTGCTAATTGCGTGCAACTAGAGGAGGTAGACTTTTGCCAAATCTTTGATAATTAGTGTGATCCAACCATGAAAAGACATGATTTCCTTCCATTTGGAATACAGTGCCATATCTCATTATTACTTGCTTTCTGTTTGCTTTCAGGGATTTAATTCCCATTTATGCTTACTTTTGTATAATTGTGAACTAAAATTCTAGCAGCTGTCTTAACATTTGTGCAATGCCAAGCTGACATGAAATCTGAGATGTGTGAGGAAAGAATGCCATCTCTGAATGACTGATCCTTTGATTCATTCTGTGACCCTTGAACTTTATAACAGAAACTCTTTGACCTAGTTATATACTTTACAGCTGAAGACTTGGCATAAAAATACCCTTTCAGAATGTGGTATTTGCAGTTTAGCTCTTGTAGATCTACTTTAGTGATAAAAATCACAATGCTTATGTATCTTCTCTGAATTACTAACGGACTCATACCCATTTGGCCAACTTCAGTAGTTTATCATTATTACTTTGAACTAGATAGCTTTAGAAACTATCCCTTCACAGCAACACTTTGATAACATATTAAACTGCTTTGTGAACTCTCATGATAAAAGCTGAAACATAAAGCAGTGTGATAACTTTATTTCACCAAATGACTTTCAGAAAGTGTTTAGTGGCATGAATAAAAATTCTAGTTAGGAGTAAGGGTGTGGCTAAAAGACAACCCTCCAGGCATCCAATATGATATTTTATGTCAATTTATCTGTACACCAAGAAAAAAAAACTTTTCTCATACCACATTCCCCCAAATTTTATACTTTTCATATCTATATGAAGTGGCATACTGTTAATTGACATGTTCAAAGATTGAAAAAAAAGTGTAATAGGTAAATTACCCAAAATATGAGTTCTTAGAATGTCCCAAAAGGAAAGAGCCTTAATTGTCAGCTAGTCTGTTGTTTCTTGTGTATTGTATGAAGTTTTTAGCAGAACACATTAAAATAAGAAAAATAAATGTTAATCTGATTAACTTTGATGTAAACTTACACACATCCCAACACCAACACCATCATACACACACACACACACACACACAAACACACACACACACACACACACACACACACAATTCTGAGACCATTCACTGCTTTTATTTTATTTCTTGCTTTTAAATGTATCTCCTAAAATTGAATTGTCAGCTGCTAAATGATTGTGTTATCTCTGTAAACATTGTTTTAACTGTATTAATTGACAGGCTATTTTAAAATTCAAAAGGAAAAATATTTGGCTTGGCTTGGTGGCAGACACATTGAGTCCCAAACTTGGAGGCAAAAACAGGGAAATCTCTAAGAGTTTGAGGACATCCTGGTCTGCATATCAAGATCCAGGTCAGCCAGTGCTAAATAGTGAGACTTTCTCTAAAAGAAAAAAAAATGTCCCAGAAACAAAAAGGGGGAGGCTAATTTGTAACTTAATTGAAACATCTTTTTTTCTGACTAAATAAGATAAGAGAAGTAAAATTTCCAATATAGTTCATAGCTAAATTAGACCAACAACCAAGATGGTCTGAATGCTCAGTCCAGAAGTCACTGGTATGCTATTCATATATGTGACCACTACTGCACCATGGGTACTTAAGGTCAACTCTAGAAATTCATTTTGGTTTATACCATGGATGTTTGGTAAGAAATTCCTGCCAACCATCAGCCTTATTCTAGTACCCTTTAGAGATTATTCTTTGTCCTTCCTCTATAAATACTCATCCACATCACACCATGGAGCAGTGATACCTTGAGCCCACACTCCTTACAGACCACAAACTAATGTATGCATTCTTATCGTTTTAGAATCTTTGCATGTTCACCTGTAAATTCAGAGTAAACAGAGAAGTGTTGTTGTTATTTATTTGTTTTGTTTTCCATTATGGAATTGTTCTGGCTGTACACAGGTTTCTTTCCTGCACATCATTTAAAAAAAATCAAGCTGCATTTTGGTCCTACACTGAAGAGTTCATCATTATAGTCTTGATATTTCTTCTGCCATGTTGTGTTGTGAAAACTCTCTAGATCCTATTTTTATCAAGGTTTTCTTTTTCCTCCAATGTGCTATGACAAAACTGGCTATAGGAATCTTTATTTTAGTTGTGTCAATTCTGTCATCTCCATTGTTTCCAGCTATGAAGTACTTTCTCTTCTTCTCTGACTATAGTGTATTTTTAAGGCATCTTTCATCACATGTGTAATTGAACAAGATTGGTTGTTCCCTGTTTTGCAAGACCCTGGGTTGGGGTTAATAACTTTTTTGGATGGTATGTTATTTCTCTTTGAGGAGGATATACTATAAGCTGCTAGATGGATAAACAGATACACATTTGTGGACAGATATTAACTAAAACCAACACACACACAATTAATTCTGAATTTGATAAATTAATCTAAACCTTCATTTGAAATGAGTCAAGATATTATAACATGTTGGAACCAATAAAAACTTCAACCTTTTCAGGAATTGGCTTGGAAGGGCCACAAAGGAAAATTCATAGAACTTCTTTCTAAAGAAAACTTAAGAGTTACATTTTAAAATGGAAAATGGCCCCAATTCACATCTCATGTGCTTTAGACCTTGAATTTAGTCACTGATGACACAAACATCTCCCCAGAACAGATTAATTTGTGTACTATATTTGGATTATTATAAACAATAATTAGGTGTGTAATAAACAATTTAGTAGAATCATTGGAAATACACATATTGAGGAACTGTTAAGATGTTAACTAAATGAGAATACTTTATTTAATTTTCATTATTTATCTCATGATATATTACAAAAATATATTTATTTGATATGTATTTTATGAAAGACCTGGAATTTACCTCAAAGCTACTTGAAAGAGGAATATAGTAATTAGTATAATTCCTTGAGACTAGTTGAAGCAATTCAGTAGATTAAAAAAATCTTTCATCTTCTTAAGAAATCTTTAAGGTTTATTGGTTTAATTTGTATGTAGATGTTTTGCCTGCATGTATGTTTTTAAAGTACTACATGTATTTCTGGTGTGGATGGAGTAACAAAGTGAACATGGGATCTCTCTCAGAACTAGAGCTACAGATGGTTGTGAACTATCATGTGGGTGCTGGGAATTAAATATCAGTCTTCCTCAAGAACAAGTGATCTTAACCTCTAAGTTGTTATTTTATAGAATCTGGGTGTTTAAAGACATTTACACATTTAATTCTTAGGATTTCAGTTTCAATAATTGTTTTTCATCTTGGTGATTTTATGCCCCCAAATCCCAATTTGCATAAGCTGTCAGTAACCTGCAGAGTATACTTGGACACTACCTTTCACAGAACTTTTGGGAGAAATCAGTAAACTGTACCACAAATCAATTGTCTGTCACAGTATAGAGCCAGTCTCAATTCTTATTATCTATGATTATTATCAATAAGAATGAATTTAGGCTAATTGTTTTGCTGATGGTTAGAGTGTAAGTCTCTCTGTTTTTATCTCCTATACACTATAATTATTAATAAATGTTATCCTGAAGATTACAATTTATTTTGTAGTTATGTCAAACACAGATTTTTCATGGAAAGACCTTAGCCCTCGGTTGGTTCTTCTTGTCAGTAAAGACTAGCGTTGTGTTGAGTGCTGTTCCATGAAGTCCAGGACCATCAGATTTTATCTACATAGGTCCCTGTGTGGATAGGAAGCCTTCATTTCACTTATCACATGCTTCCCAACAAATGACTATACTCTGAATCTTCCCCTAATCAACTTAGTCCTATTTAATTGGGACAAAGACAGATTCCAGTAAATCAATAAAATATCAGATATTTTTAAAACCATTTTTGGCTTCAGAATGATTTGGATTAAAATTAATCCAGCCATGAATTCAAAATGACTAAACCCCAACTTAGCACACTTGAGCCTCTCTGTTCTCATTTGAAACACTCAGATGGGGATACATTAGAGCTAAAGTTCAATTTGATGGCTAACCATTGCTGGTTAAACTAAAGATAATCCTCATTGTTTATAAAAGCATGTGATAGGTCATGGGAGCACAATATCTTTACTATTTATATTTGATATCTCATTGTTTGCTCAGAATGACCTGTGATCTACCACCCCATCTCTCTCTGTAGCCCAAACCCAAACAGGCCTTGAAATTGCAAACATTCCTTCATCTGTCTACCAAGTAGCTGGGAATATAGGCTTTTGCTATCACTCCGGGCTTTGTAGCTTCATGAGCCATGAACATACGAGACAACCAACTTCTACTTATGTATGAAATATCTTGAATATAAAAGTCACTATTGTAAGAATGCTTGCATATACTTCAGTCCTTGTCTAGCAAAATAAATTGCATATCCATTCACTAAATGAGAAAATTAGCTTTTGAAAATATTGTTATATGTAGGAGGGGGCAAAGTAGGTTTGAGTTCAAGGGTATTTATCTATACATACAAAAAAGAAAACATTTCCACTTCTAAATGATTTTAAAGGTATTGAAATAACTTTTAAACATCATTCATTATGTGCTTAATTTTTTAAAAATTATACATAAGAGAATGATTGTGTTATGTGATGTTTCAGGACTCATGTATATTTAGCAGTGAAATGAAAGTTATTACCAAATCATTCTCCTTGTTGACCAGTGACCCCAACATGAATAGCTGAACCAGAGTCCATAAACAAGAGAAATTATCTTCCTCCATGACACCATGCACACAAAACAGAACATCTGCTCAAGATCAAAATCAGGAAACTTTCAAATTTTGGGAAATAATGAGCTATAATCACCTCTTTACTTTCTGTTAGCTGCTCTGTGTTCCATGGCTCTGTAGTTCGGGCTACAGTGAACATGGGTATGAAGGTACATCTCTACCACAAGGCCCAGAGTGGGACATCTAGATGGTATTGTGCTACTTTTAATGTTTTGAAGACTCTCCATTCTGCCTTCCACAAGGGCTATGCTCCTTTTATGTTCTTCCCCAAAGAGTTCAAGGACTCCCTTTTTTGATACACTCCTAAGCCTTGGCTAGACTTAGTATTCTTGATGAAGTCATTCTTGATTCTTTCAGGTGATAGTTTCGATTAGTATTTCCCTGATAGTGAATGATCTTTAAACATTTTTCTTCATGTATTAATGGATCACTTCTGAGAAATGTATATTTTGATCTATTGCTCATTTTAAAAACATTAACTGTTACCATTGATGAATGTCCCTCAAATATGGCAGCTTTTAAACATTTCAGTTGGTTTATGACCTTAAACAAGAAATCTGGCAAGGGATCAGAAAGTTTGTTTTCAAATCAGGTCTATCATTCATTTGTAACCAAATATTAACAGGACCAAATGTCATGGAAGTCTTGTCTCGACTGAATCCCTCAAGACTCAGTATTATGAATAGCTGTCTGTGCTGCTGTGCTTTTTGGGCAGCAACTGTCTGGAGTAACTGAGACTGGTTTTCTAGGCACAGCCTCAGTGCCAAAATATGTATTTCTGGTTTTGTTTACCTTTTTGGCAGTGAATTTTTGGAGTTCCTTATATGTTCTGAAAAAAAACCTACAGTTTTATAGCTAGCAAATATGTTTTCCCATTGTGTGAGCTGTCTCTCACCTCTATTGTTAGATTTTCTAAGCCAAAGCTCTGTAATTTGTTACAATATTATTTCTAGCATGCATTAAGTCGCAAATAGTTAGGAAAAATGTGATGTGCATATACAAAGGACAACTGCTCATTAAAAATTGTATAATCCTGTCTTTTGCAGCATGAATGAAATTGGAGAGAGTTCTGTTCCATGAAACAAACAAGGAATAGAAAGACAGGCATCGAATGATCTCACTCCTGTGTGGAGTATAAGCAAGCTGATCTTACAGAAGTTGAGGGTAGAATAGGGATGACCAGAAGCTGGACAGAATGGGCTAAGTTCATTTAGGAAAGGAAGTTTTGCAGTAGGTTGAACAGTTAGGCAACTCTAGAAAACTACAGTGTACTATATATTTTAGAATGCTAGAGGGAAAGGTTTGAAGTATTTCGTGATGTAGTAGTAAATGTTTGAGAAGGACATGTTTAACAGATTTATAATGCACTCAATTATATATGTACCAAAATATTACATGGTAGCCATAGTGTATTCACATCTTACAAAATCATATATTTGTTAAGAGTAAATATAAAAGGAACAAGTTGTACTTTCTGTTTACTGTTTTAAGATAACAACTGGCCTTCCTAATTAGTTAAGACTAAATTTGCTGTTTGGTTTTCAATAAAGTGTTCTTTATCTGCTAAAGATAGAAGAGAAGCTAAGGGTCTCAACTGGATTCTGGTTCAACTCAATACTAAATTGCATTTACAATCTGCAAACGAATTTGGCCACTGTCCATGGCCAATTCATGTTTCCTTTCTCAGGTCTCTGTGCCCTAGATAAGCATATGATGATGGCACCCTGAGGAATTATCACGAGGGCCAAACATTCCATGCATCTTCCAGGAGTGTTTCCATTTCCTCAGAGACAAACAGCAGGGCTTTAGTATCTCAATTTTAATTTCTTGTCTGAAAGGACAGTTTAGGAATCAATGTTGTTTAACATCCGCACAAATGACCCTTAGTGGGAAACATGCAATCAAGCATTTAAATCTGCTTATACTCGATCACAAATAGGTAATGCTGACTAAAGATTGTACGTGCTCTGCCTTGTTAGAAACTCTGACAAGGATTGCTCTATGGAAAACATTAGCCATGGATACTGATACTAATTCACAGTCCCACCCCAGAAATCCCAGGGATCCATCAGAGGTTGTAATATGCTGGATAAATGAATGGATCAATGACCTATCTGTAGCCTTCAGAAAGCATCCATATACACTCACTTCATGTTTAAAGTGAGGCACAGTTTATGTCAGCACTGAAGGAGACTGAGATAAATGTTTCTCAGTTACTGATACTGAACCATTTTATTTTTCCTTTGTATAGTGTATTCCTTTGGTTAATGTTAGTGGCCATTTCTCTGCAAAATATGGCTAGCAAATTGCTCTGAAAAATTTGGGGTTTCTCTGAGAGGCACCTACTTAGGTTGTGATAGTCCTTCCATAAGGAAAGACACACATGTGATCATTATTTTCTTTACTATAAGAAAATATGCAAGTGATGAGGAAGAAAGGAAAAGTTGCTGCCATGGGAGCCAAATTCATTGACCTCTGGCCCAACTGCTGAGCCTTCATACTTTCTGAAGATTTATCTTCTAAGCATGTGGCTCTTGGAATTCCAGGCCAGTTTTTACTTTTAAAAGGATACGTCAGCTGTCTTTGTTGTATTAGGCTAGAGTTTCATGCTCGAAGATTGTTCTGGATATTTACAACGCACTGCAGTTGTAACTATTCTTTTGAAATTTTCTAAAGACCATAATCATCTTGGCCCCAAACTGCCAAAGGTAAGAAGGAAACCAAGACTGGAGGATAAAGGGAATATTTATGTGTCTGGAAGATAAATTTCTGTTGCACAGTCCAACTTGTTTTGCTTCTGACAACTGCATATTTTGCAAGTTAGTAATGTTTAATCTCCATTGCCTGGACCCTGTAAAGAATAAAGGGACTGCCCAGGCTTTTTTAGTATCTAACATCTTAAGAAAACAAATCAAGAGTTAAAACAAACAAACAAAAAACAGAAAAAGAAACCCTGCCAACAGACTACAAGAAGAGGGATTGGTAGACATCTTACTTTGCAAAAGAAGGTCGGTTAAAGTCAGAAAGACTTTGTTTTTCAGTGATTCATTGCAAACTGAGGAGCTGATGGAAATGACTTAAGGACTTAGGTGGGGGTTGTTGCAGTGTGGAGCAAAAGCATAGAGAGGCCTAGCCTTAGAGTTAGTTCTCTTTCTCCTTGACAGCTTCCCTTACTCCTCATTAGGTGGCGCTGTGTCTTGCTTCCTGAATCACAAAGATAAATCCTGCAAATGCCAAACACTCAGAGAATCAAGTTCCATGAAGAAGATGCACTAGATTGGCCTGACTCACTTACCCAAATCAGAACACTGGACCACTCGAAGATGGCATTGGCAGCGGAAGGGGCACACAGGTCCCAGGGGCTCCAGGTGCGGTAGATCAGGAGGAAAACCAGAGTCTTCAGGGCCTACCCCAGAAGCTTCATCTTCTAGCATGAAGTCGAATAAGCCTCTCTGTTCAAATGGTCCAGCCCAAGAGACTTGCGCCAGAAGGAGGAAGATGAGAGTTGCCTTCATGATTGTCTCATGTACTTTTACAACCTGGGAACCTGAAAAACAAAGTGAAGGGTTTAGGAGCGAGGTTGTTACTTAATTCGTGTATTATTTCTTACATAGTATCTCATAGCAGAGTCAGCACAGAGGAAAACATAGAAAATAACACATTGTTATGAAGAAGTCAGACACACAAAAAAGTCTTTGAAAGGCAGTAAAGGTGATTACAGCACACATAACCCATTTGTTTACCAGGAGCAATCCAAACAGTACTTAATTGCTTGTTTCATCTTGGGGTCTGGTTAGGATGAGGTGCCACATCTCTGGCCATTTGTTTTTTAGTAAGAAACCATGTCAGGATTTTCCATGCTCACTCAACACTGCCGTACCATAATCAAATAAATCTCTGTCTATACAGTGAGACATCTCCAACTCCTACCAGAGACACATCAAGGCATGTTCATCTCTAGATTGTCCTGCATTTTCCTTGGTCTAGGATTTTTCAACCCCTCATTAAGTCATTGTAAGAGAATTCTACTCATTTCTGCTCTAAACATTTCTGTTATACCAGGCCATCTTCCACATGGCTGCCCGAGTTATTGTCTAAAACTTATGCTCACCTTGTTCAGCTCTACTGCCACCATTTGTTGACATCTCATGACTTCTCAATGTTAACCATGTTCCCTGAGTTGTTTTTGAGCCATTCATTATTTGGTATCAACCAATAGTTAATGCTACATTTCTCTGCATTTTCTCTCTCTCTCTTTTCAAGAATAGACGCCAACACTGACACTCAGACCCCCTTGTCATTTTGATTACCTACCTTATGAGAAACTTTAAAGATATGTGAGATACTGGGTTTCCCTCCTGTATTTCCTGAATCATCCAAGTAGGGAGCTGTTCTTTGCCTCTTCTAGGATCCCAAGCACGCAGCTCTGACCTCTCTTAATGAACTTTATCACATAGTGTAATGGGTTTTGTGTGTTCACTCTGTCCCTGCATTAGCAGATGCTCTCCCTCTGGGCGTGCCTTGTTATTTCTTGTTCTGTACCCATGCCTTGCACAATATTTTGAGCAGAAATGACTCAACTGACCATCAGTTTATTAACAATACAGTACATTCCATTTGTTCCAATAAACCAAGTAAGTCTGATGCTTTAAAGCACAAATTGCATATTTACACCAAATTTCATTTTATTTAGATGTGAATTAAATAACTCCAAATGAAAAGTCTAAATTACAAAGTCCATTTGCTTAAATGGAGATCAAGCAATCTGTTTTTGCGATGATATGGCTTAAGATCCTTTTGCAGCTCTTATATGTCCCCAGACATATTTTGGGTGTTACTTTTAGACTCATGATCTCAGCTTAGAATTATATATTTATCCTTGATTAGCTGCAAGTCTGCAAATACAAATAAAAGGCCGTTTGAGTCATACTTGCCCATAGTAGCTACCAAATAAGAAAAGAAAACAACATCTTTGAACAGACACAGAATATGTATCCTAGAAGCTTTTGCCAATTCCACTAGGATAGAAACAAATGTTTTGTAATTAAAAAAACTTCTTTCCTTCTTAGCATATATTTAATACGTACTATCTCTAAAACAACACATACCATAGAGGACTGTGATTTTCAGTGAAATGGGTCATAAAAATTGTGATTCACACAACTTGCCCCAAGTTCACTAACAAGTGTCCCTCTAGCAACCCATCCCCACTGAGTTACTGCATCTTTCTTAGAGGGAAGTTATTGTTTTGGCCAGAAGTTTACTTGGATCGCTGTAAGGGAGAAGCGTTCTAACTGTTTCACATTAAAATACAATGTTTATGGTTTACCACAAGTTTGCTGGCCTTGCATATTTAATGCCTTGTAATTTTAGGAGGAGAAACATGAATCAAAGTAATCTCGGTTTTAATAAGGGTAAGGAGAGTTAGTGCAGATGTCTCCTGGTAATCCATTCTCCAGATCCAAAATGCCTGGTGGCTTCCCTAACAACCCAAAAAAGGAAATTCTGAGTGCTGGCTCAGAGGAACACTCATCGTTTATATCTGTTTACTCTTGTTAAAATAGTACAAACTCTCTGCACAATCTTCCTTTAGATTAAAGCTGCATACCACTTCAGCTACTTGCTGAACACCCTCTTTCTTTGTTAACTTCGTTATCCCAGAGAAGAAAAGCATGCTTATAAATTTTATTCAAATTCTTCCATGAAATTCCTCTTTACAATTTTTATAACACTCAAAGATTCCCCAATGTTAGAGCAGTTAATATTTGCCATGGATCCTTATGATTTCTTCAGTATTTTTTTCTTTTGGAATAAATAGTAAATAGAACAGCAAAAGGAAGTTGTCCATATATAAAGAAAGGAGACTGTAAAAGAGGCTACACATTTTTCAAATCTCTTGGAAACTGCTACTCTTAAATATTTGAAAAGTTGCTCTTCTGCTAAAAAGCATTGCTTTTGTTCAGAAATGTCCCATCGAAAAGTAATACTTCTGGTTCTTTTTTAAATATATATATATATATATATATATATATATATATATAAACTTAACACTTAAATATCAAGAGTATCTGTAGATACAGAACAAAATTTAAATCCCACAGTGTTTGGTGAATTCAAACCTTTAGTAACAATAGAAATAATTAAAAGATAGACAATCAGAGTAGCATTTGTCTATAAACAAGAGCGATTACAAAACTCATATTTTCTTTTTTCATGATAAAATAAGTAGCAACAGGAAGAAACAGCTATAGGCACTGAGATCACTGGGAGACATTTAACCAGTCTGATTACTCTGCTTAACCTTAAAATGAGAAGCAGCCCCCACCCTCATCTCATAGTCAATGCGCCTGTTAGGAAGGTTCATTTGCACTGAAAATATTGACAGGAACATTAATTGATTTCCAAGAAAGTATGTGACATACTATCTCAGATCTTTAACATAAATATTTTCAGTGCTGCTTTTCACTTTTCTGGTCATAATTCATATTCATTTCTGGTGTTGTAGAAATAGACATTATATCTCTACAGCTAGACAGTCCACTTGCTGAGGTTTTAAAGGTTTGTGAAGTATGCAAGAATTCAGGAGGGGAATACATCCTTAAACAGCTCATCTAGGCACACACAGTAGGCTAGTTTAGAATGCTTTTCTGTTAGCAGTTCACAAAGAGAAAGCATTTCATCAGCACAAATTCAAAAACATCGGTATAGACAGTCATGGTGTTAACTTACAGGTTTTTAATAAGCATTTTTGCAAGAATAGAAGAAAAAGCACTTACACAATGCATTCAAACTACAATTTTACCGAGTACTGTACTTCTGTTTTCAAGCAACTCTTGTTTCGAATGTTGCATAAAGATTATTTAAAAGTTTAGCACGATTTCTTTCTCTTTTCTCTCTCACACTAGGTATTTCTTCTGCCCTCCACTTGACGGCAGTTTTATTAGCCTGTAGCAGAGTTCAGGACAATTATTGAAAGCCATACCTTTTAATCCGGGTATTTGCCACGGGAGCCCTCAGAGCTGAGATGTAATTACACTAAATATTCAGCCCAAGCAAAAGAGTTTGCAGGTGTGGAAAGGAGGAGGGGTAGTGCTGCTCTGTGACTGTCACTAGGTTGAAAACCTCCAGCTTCTACTCCATAGTACCGTTAAAACGAAGGTTTCACTCAATGAGCACAGCCAGCTGACACCCACATTAGATCATATGGTAATGATACGTCTCTTGTATTGTAGCCAGAAACTTTATCGGCCTCCTTTCCCCCCACCCCTCGACATTTGCTTTATTCCTTTTGCATCCGCCTAACATTCCAAACTGCTTTTGTAGTCTAGTGGAGCAACTTGGTTTGAAATTTGTCTTATTTTTTTCCATAAAAAAAGATTGTAACTGAAGAGTCTGTCTCCCAACCCCCAACCCCCAACCCCATTCCACTCTCTCTCTCTCCACCCTTTCCAGCCTTGTTTGCAAGTAGTATTTATTATCCTTCTGAAATAACGCTTTTTCGTGCTTTGGAGAGGTGGGGGTCTGGAAAATGGAGTGAAGTGAATCTTGTAGCAGTTTTAAATGTGGTCTTCAGAGATGACAGAGCAGCCTCACATGGCACTCCTCGTGGGTGCTGAAGTTCAAGTGCCCTGCAGTTCTCTGTGCATTTGAATGTATTTCTAGGGAGTTCTGGAAGAAAGCCAGGATTTAATCTGGAAAGTGTGTCTTTTATTATTTTTATTACCCACGATTTAAAAAATCTTTCTTGGCTGTTGCTAAATAAAACACATAGAAACCAGAAGCTGATTCTAATATAATTTAGTTTGTAGGTTAAAAAATGATCTTTATAGATGGGATCTTTATGTATTCAGGGCTTTCTGTGGCTGTTTCCAAATTTTGGTAAATAGGGAAAAAGAAGGAGAGAAAGTGCAATAGAGAAGGAGATGTTTGTTTAGCCACTGGAAAAAGGTTTAAAGATTTTGTAACTCCATCTCTGGATGCTGTGGGTTGTTTTGTTTGTCTGTCTGGGTTCTGACCTGCATCTTTCTGCTCAGGGCCCTAGGCTCTTATCAGGTGGGAACTTGAAATGAACATCTGTGAAAAAATGAGAAGCTCCCCCTCTGCACCCCCCTCTCCTCCCTCTAGCCATCTAAGGATATGTTTTTACAGTAAATATTCTTTAGCTTTATGAAGCTTGAAGGGTTGAAATTCTCAAGAGGAAATCTGAAGGAGGGGAGGATGTAGCCACATTTACTTTGACTCTGTTCCGAGTCTAACTGCCTGTCTTTTAACTCTTTGTTCCACCCACCCCCTTCTTGAAGTGAGTGTCAACATACTGGCTTATTCTGGTGTCTTAGAAAGAAAGAGGCAAGTACAAGAGTTAGCTGACATTGGTGTAAAGATGAGGACCTTTCATCTGGCATTAATTTATTTTCTCCTGTGAATGTCCCATGTGTTTATATCTTCCTTCTTGCATGTGATGACTTCTTGTCCATATTACATCTATTTATGTACATGTCTTACTCCCAAAGAGCATACAGAGTTTCTCTAACTAATATACTTGCAATATTTAGGAAATTATGTCAGAAATACTTTGTAAATTATCAAAGACAGTCAAATATTGACAATGGGCTGCACTGTGACCATTAATCCTTTTTAATCTCTGATTTGTTCCTTTTCAATACTGAATATCACTAGAGTGAATCATGGGAAATTATGACAGCACTTATTAACTAGTACAGAAGCCAAGACAGAAGAAGAAAGAAAGGCAAAGGAATAGAAAAGTGTAATATAGATAACAAGGGGAACAGAAAGAGACACACACACACACACACACACACACACACACACACACATATATATATATATATATATATATATATATATATATATAGTTTCATCTTTACTGGTTGAGACAATTGGATTAAGTTTCACATCTAGGTTCTTCCCTGTGACAACAGGTTTATAAATTAAACAACTTCCATAACCCCTCTCTTCTTCAGTTTCTGCACCTGTGGGGTGCATAGAAACCAAAACTCAATTTATAGCCTTAGATGGAACATAGAAGAAGACAATCAATAGAAAAAAACTTACTTAAGGCCTGACACTTTCAGTGTAAGCTTTCCATAAATACTGCCTTCCTTTATTTTCTAGTGTGTTACATAGTTTTCTCTTGAGTCAGGCTGGGGGAAGAGTATTTACTCTTTCCATTTCATGAATATGAAAATTGGAGACCAGTGACCTCCCCAAGTCTATGCAACTCTTAAGAAGCAAAGCAGAAAGCAGCTCTCAAAGTTCTCACTCTAAATCAAGGCTGCACAGCTCTACCACACCTTTTTTATTTTTTAATTTAAAATATAAAAAGCATGCTTTACATATCAATCCTAGTTCCAACTTCCTCCTCTCCTCCCTTGCCCCCCCCCCCACTAGCCCCCATCCCATCCCCTTTCTGCCTCTCAGGGAGGGTGAGGCCATCCATGGGGGATCTTCAAATTCTTTCATAGCATTTGGAGCAGGTCCTAGGCCCTCCCCCATGTTTCTAAGCTGAGAGAGTATCCCTCTATGGGCAATAGGCTCCCAAAGTCCATTCGCGTACTAGGGATAAATACTGATCTACCAGAGGCCCCATAGATTGCTGAGGCTTCCTCCCTGACACTCACATTCAGGGGGTCTGGATTGGTCCTATGCTGATTTCCCAGCTATCAGACTGGGGCCCATGAGCTCCCCTGTGTTCAGGTCAGCTGTTTCTATGGGTGTCTCCAGCCTGGTTTGACTCCTTTTCTCATCACTTCTCCCTTTCGTAACTGGATTCTAGGAGTTCAGTTCAGTGTTTAGCTGTTGGTGAATGTTTATGTTTCCATCAGCTACAGGATGAAGGCTCTAGGATGGCATATCATGTAGTCATCAATGAGAAGTCTAAAATGTCTGATAGACACTTAAGAAAGTGCTCAACATTCTTAGCCATCAGCTAAATGCAAATCAAAACAACTCTGCGATACCATTTTACTCTGTCAGAATGGCTAAAATCAGAAACACCAATGACAGTTTATGCTTGAGAGGATGTGGAGAAAGGGGAACATTCCTCCACTACTGGTGAGAGTGCCAACTTGTACAGCCACTTTGGAAATCAGTATGGAGACTCCTCAGGAAAATAGGAATCAGTCTACCTCAAGATCCAGCAACTCCACTCTTAGGCATATACCGAAAAAAGCGCATTCATACAATAAGGACATCTGTTCAACGATGTTCATAGCAACACTATTTGTAATAGCCAGAACTTGGAAGCAACCTAGATGCCCCTCAACTAGAGAAGGCAAAAAGAAAATATGGTACATTTACACAATGGAGTACTACTCAGTGGAAAAAAAAAACAATGGAATCTTGAAATTTGCAGGAAAATGGATGGAACTAGAAGAAACCATTCTGAGCGAGGCAACCCAGTCACAAAAAGACAAACGTGGCATATACTCAGTCATAGATGGATTTTAGACATAGAGCAAATAATTACCAGCCTACATTCCACACTGCCAAAGAAGCTAGGAAACAAGGAGGACCTTAAGAGAGACATGCATGGTCCCCCAGACAAGGGGAAAGGGACAAGATCCCTTGAGCAAATTGGGAACATGGGAGGAAGGCGAGAGGGAGTTAGGAGAAAGATAAAGGGAGAAGAAGAGGACATGAGGGAGCAGGAAGATTGAGTCAGGGGAAGAATAAAAGAGAGCAAGATAAGAGATACCATAATAGAGGGAGTCATTATAGGTTTAAAGAGAAATCTGGCACTAGGGAAACATCCAGAGATCTACAAGGATGACACCAACTAAAAATCTAAGCAATAGTGGAGATGCTACCTTAAATGCCCTTCCCCAACAATGAGATTGATGACTATCTTACATGCCATCCTAGAGCTCTGCCACATCTTAAGGATAATAAATATTAATCCAGAAAGAGTTACTATGGAACCTCTGAAATAGCATACCCTTTCATTTTCAAAACTGTGTTGAAGTTCAATACTGGCAGCAGAGAAAATGCTTAAAAGATAGGGGTATTTACTTCTCTAGCTGGTCAATGTCAATTCCATATCTGGAACTCAGGTAAAGGTGGAAGTAAAGTACCAATTCCTCAATCACACACACACACACACACACACACACACACACACACACACACACCATTTTAATCATCATCTAATTTTTTTTAAAGTTTTATAAAGTTGTAATATTGCATAAACTTGTTCATACATATATAAACAAATATTTTCATAATATTTTAAATTTAGTGACAACTTTAAATCTCTACACATTTATCAAGCTTCATATTTTTACAAATCACTTAAGTGTTATATCGTATATATTATTTCCTTTTTTTAGATGCAAGAAACTAGATCACCACAAAGTGATACAGTTAGGTAAAAGCAAGATCAGTGCACCTTCAGTAGATTCTACATATCTGCATTCTCACATAAAGAATGATGCTGAGGCTGGAATCTGTCCTTTGTAGATATTGCACAAGCCTCTCCATGCTCTGCTGGGTTTGATGGCTGGATTCCTGAAACCCTGGCAGATGGATAGATATTCACCAACTCAGGGTGAATACCAGAGCTTTTGCTAAGTCTGCTCACACTGTGATATGCTCACACTGACAGCCCACCACCTAGTGAAACTACAATCCACATGCTGTCAAAATCCATTTTAAGGCTAGTCATTCTTTCTCACCAAAATCACATACAAAGCAGTTTAAGTTACACCTTGAACGTTACACATCTGAAGAGTGCTAAAGCCCAGAAATGTCTACTGAAGACACATATCTATCCATCTAAGAGGTCTGCAAGCAGGTGACTTTCCTCAGAAACCGGTGAGACTATTTGTTTTACTTTTAGATTGATGGTACAAAACAAAGTCAGGACTTGAGGGTTTTATAACACCCTGTCCTTAACAAGGTAGACAGATTTCTTTCTCAACAAAGAAAATAGGTAGGTTGGGATTTAGTGAAGCTTGAGGTATGTTTCAGGAAAAAAAAATTGTATTTGGGAATTTTCACTTTGGCTCTCTTCTGCCTCAACATCTGCAACCCATGGCCACTGTATTCATTACACTCACACCCTGTATAAGTTAACAAAAATTTTCCGTTTCACAAGCATTCAACATTTAAAATGTGGGCAGCTATTTTGAGCCCCCTGTCTGAGCTGGTGGTGAGCTTTAAAGAAGGCAAATGGGTAAGACAATAGGG